TGGCCTATAGAGTGTAGATAATGGAATGATTCAATGGCTATGAATTTTGTTCAAGTTTTTCACTTACCTGGGATTTTCCATGGGCAAGAATTTTGTTCAGAGTGAAGGAAGATTTGAAGAGAGATATCCTAGCAGCCTTTGCGTTGGAGGGTGGTGTGTGGCCAATTGTTCAGATTACGAATTTCCGATATGTTTATGTGAGGTACCAACTCCTCTGTGTAAACATCTTCTGCCTGTTGGACAGTGCCTTTTTGACATGGGTCGAGCAGCGAAGGGCTGCCGCTTGGAAGCAGCGGTTCACACACACACGCATATATATATATATATATATATATATATATATATAGACTTTGGATGCTGTTCTTATTTATCAACGTTCCTTGATTGAAACTTTGTTGATTTTCGATTTTTTATTGAAGTCCTTGAAATTAATGTCAATAATGCATTTCTATGCAGGTTATTATAATTATTAAATTAAAATTTGATATTTGTAGTTATTTATATTAATGAGATTTTAAATAAAATCCATAATTTGTTGAAAATATTTAAAAAAAAATACTTAAATAAAACACATGATTTGTCATTACTTATATTAATGACATTTTACATACAAAAAATTGGTAATTTTTATATGATACATATTACATACAAAAACTTGGTACATTTAATACAAAAAAAAGTGATACATTTTATATAATGGGTACATTTCATATAAAAAATAACAATGCGTACGTTTTACACAAAAGAGATGGTACTTACAAAAAAAAAAAAAAAAAAAAAAACAGGTACATTTTACATATAACAAAGTGGTACATTTTTAAAGACAAATGGGTTAATAAATTATGGGTACAAATAAAAGGTCAAAAAAATATGAGTGAAAATGAAAGTTTGAAAAATATGGACACAAAAAGAAATTAATATATGGGTGACACACCCCGACCGAAATCAGGGCGTGTTGGGCGTCACGTGAGAGTGATGTAACCATGTGCACAATGCGGAAGCTAAGAATAATAATAAAAGTACGAATAAATAAAAAACCAAGCTATACACTAAGTAGATAATAAACATGTGCAAGCGTAAGTGTGAAAAACAATATTCAGAGCACAGAAGACCTAGTGCAGTCCAGGGGAACAAACACTAAATAAGCACACCCAGAGGTGGTCCTACATTGGTGATAATCTGTCAGATATGCCGAGAATTCCTCGAAAGCCACCAAAAGAGCAATCCAAACTAGAACCTGGAGGGGCGCAAAACAGAAAGTGTGAGTAGGCAAAAACAAAGCTTTTCAAAATCATTTCATTAACAAAAGTTCTAACCCTTCGCCGTAAAACTTGTATAGTTTCCCAGAAAATAGAAAATAAACACATATAGAAAACATGCTCAAAAATATGCCATGTCGAATACCTCTACATAAAATGTAAGTACTCAGGTAATGCCAATCAATGCAATGTAAATAGTCAGCCGGAGTCACCCAACGTGACTTGTACGGCTGAATCTAGAGCTCAAATCTCCAACTCACTAACTATACTTGCACACGAGTCGGAACCACCTAAAGTGGTCTGTATGACAGGACTGGGTGTAAATAAGTACGCTCAAGTGCTACGATCATGTGAAAACTGGGCGAATAATCGCAAGTCACCTACAGGTCGGAACCGTCTATAATGGTCTCTATGACAAGACTGTGCACCTAACTTGGATCCAAGATGAGCGTGTGGTGCGGGAGGTGAACATCATGTGAATGACTGTGCCCTACTCTGGGCGGGAGCACTAACACCGAGGTTGCAGGTTATGAGCTCTCTATGCATCTCACATCACTACTAATCACAAACATAAACCATAACTTACCTGGCACTTACCTGTGCGTCTGCAACACCAAACATACATATATGCAACTACTAATGCATAATTAAATAGGCAAACGCAATGCATGGCATTTAAAACATATAAACGTTTCATTTCATTTTCTGGGAAAATCACAAGTATATAGGTATATACGGAAAACCAAAAGCCCACTCACTGGTATGTAGAAGGGTCGTAACCCCCTTGCCTCGAGTAACTGCGCTCGTCCTCGGGATAGGTCTCACCTATATGCCAAACAACTATAAAAATGTTAATTTAAAGCACATAACCAAAACTAGGTAATAACTTCTCATAAAATGCTCAAATGGGGTGTATGAATACACCAACGTGATCCACTCAACCTCACGAACATCCCCATATTTTAAAAATAATTTTCTGACGTCTCACGCGCCGGCCGAGGCATGGCCACACGCGCCGCCCACGAGTAGGCACGTGCCTGGCACACTGATGACGTCAGGAATATTCCGTTAAAACTAACAGATTCTGTTAAAGTTAACCTAACACTGTTAGGAATATTCCGTCCAAACTGACGGAATATTCCATCGTCTTCTCTAGCCAACCTCCGGCGCCGTCGCCGTCGCTGTCGCTGAAAAACTGAAAAAACTTCTAAACTTCATTTCTCACTCGTTTTTCAACCAAAATCCACTTACCAAAATGAAGCTTACAACTAGAAGAACAAAACCTTACCACTTCCAAGCACTAAAACCAATGGAATCTCGTCGGAAAACTTCCCAAAATCCGGCCAAACCTGCAACTCACGATCCCGACGTCCAAAACCTTCAAACGAACCACCCCGAGCCTTCTAAGGACCTCACCAAGCTTCCTACAACCCTGAAATTCCCAAAAACGCACGATTTTACGTGTGCATAAATAGTGACCAAATCGGGAATCTCGAGTTCGACGTGAAAACAAAGGTTTCCTTACCTGAAATGGGTATGGTTGGACTCGTACCAAGCTCACGAACACAAAGGTATAAGTCTCCACCACGATCTACAACGTTTTCGAAGGATTTGGTCTTGTCCGTACACAAGTATAGAAGAAGAAAGAGAGAGAGACTTTGGGATAGAGAGAGTCAACGGGAGAGGGTGATGGAAATGAAGATAGATGTGTGGCTGAGATGCAACCAACCAAGCACCCAAAACAACCACACAAACAACAATTATCGACTAGGGGCAAAACCGTCATTTCACCCTTGCAGTAAGAATAATCCGGGACCGGCTGTCACATGGGTACAAACTAAAACTAAATAAAAAATTGGCACAATTTAAAAAAAAAAGGGTTGCAAATTAAAATGGGTACAAACTAAAAATAAAAATATATGATACAAAATTTAGCCATAAATATAAATATATCAAATGTAATGTTTCTAACACTAAATGAGTAATTTAGAAATAAAATTTAATTACCTTGATATGTAAAATATTTTATTATTGAAATAATTAATGATGTTTATTAAAACCAAGGGACCTTGATTAAAAATTGAAAAGAAATAAGGTTTCAATCAATGGAGTTGAAAAAAGATGGATGAGAACCTAATTTTTCCTATATATAAGGGATAAAGATTTTGACAAATATTTTTACACTTCTTTACAACCTTTAGACCTTGTAACATTCAACGGTCTTGATTAAGAGTTATGTAGAGAATTTTAAACATTAAATGAGGTATAAATTTATAATTAAGAAATTAATAAAAGTTAAAAATAAGAAAAGAATAAAAATAATCCTGTAAACATAAGGAAGAAGCGAAAATGGCTGTCATGGATGAAAATGCAGACGCACGACCATCCGAATTGCTTCGTCCAACCCCAACACCTCGAATTCCTATCATTCACGCTGTCAAGGTTAGTATCGTTCAATTGATCGATACAAAATTCCAATATAAAAGTAAATCATTCTCCATAGGGGTGAGGTAGGTTGTGCCTACAACATCGGGACAAACAAAGAGAGGAGATTGATTGATGTGGTTAGGAAAATTGCCAACACTTCTCTTTGAACCCAGATGCACATATTAAGTTTGTGCAGGATAGGCCTTTTCTTGATAAGAGATATTTCATAGATTACAAGAAGCTGAAAGCCTTGGGATGGTCCCAACAGACGTCGGGAGGATGGATTGAAAAAGACATTGGACTGGTACGTGAAGAATCCCGACTGGTGGGGGGATGTTTCTGGAACACTAGTTGCTCACCCAGGGAAAAACTAACAAGGTTTTGAAGAACTCAATTTAATCATCCTGCAGATATGAACAGTAATATAGGATTTTATTTTGCTTACCTAATGAAGATTTAAGAGACTAATAAGTAATAGCTTGATTTGTTATAGAGGGCATTAGAATTCCGTATCAATCCAAGGCATGGAGTTGCATACCTCATCGGCAAAGAGGAAGATGGAGGCTACGATTTAATGGAGTTCACGCTTATAGGGTTTCTTCCCTTTAAATTTTATATTTATAAATTTCCTTATAGATTTTATGTTTTTTTCAGTTTTATTTTATTTTTAATATTAGTTAAAATCCACGTAATCATCCATGTCATTTAATGAATAAATAAGGACTCTTGGATGTCATATAATCTAAAGGCTTAAAAAGAGTGTAAAAGTATTTGTCAAAATATTTGTTTCTTGATCCTATCTATAGATAGACCTTTTATGCAAAGCAATCCCCATTTTTTGAAAAAAATGGGGATTAGGTGTGAGGCTCACATTGGCTGTCCTTCTACGAAACGAATGCTTCTTGATCATCAAACAACAAAAACTAAATAGATGATGAATGACTTTCGGAAAACAATTTTTATAATCCAAAAACTTGCTTGGTATTGAGCTTATGAATCCAAACAAGGGAATTGGTGCATGTCAATTTATAAATTCTGACTTTTATCCAAATTTAAAGTTTATTTTCCTTATCCGAACATAGTGTTAATGTTTATAACTTTTTTATATAATTATAAAATATTTTTTTATCAGTTATAATTAATAAGAGTAAATTAGTAAATTTATAAACAAAATGCTGATTGAGGGGTTGTATGAAAGAAAATTAAAATCTGAAGAGATGTTAGTATAATGTCTCAGATGTGAGAAATTTTGTGAAAACTTGATAAACATCAGGAAATAAGTGTAATAAACCCTTATAATTCGTAACTGGTACGATGAAATTACGAAATTGCCCATGCTGTCTACGCGGTGATCCGGTTCTACAAAATCTCATCTATTCCTTCCATTGTCAGGACTCCACTACTGCTTCGTCTCACAGAAGTCCGCCTAAGAGCAAAGAAGATCATGTTCAAACTCAATTCCCTCAACTCGCTGCGAGCTCTGAGGGACCTCCACGCCTCCCAATCTGCCGGCGTCAGAGCGCTCACCACCTGTTCGTCATTAATCCTCAAACAGCGGAACCCACTTCTCTCTCTCTCCGTCGCCGTTTGCCTTCGCACCGTCGCACAATCTGCATGTCGTTCGAAACTTCTAGAGCAGCCGTGATTTCAGGTAATTTACTCTTTTGTGTGTATTGGGTTGGTGGGTTATCGTTAAAATCTGAAATGACATGCAGATTTAATTTGGATTTTGCGTGTTTGTGGTTGTTGGAATTATGATTTGCTTTAGGGATTGGAATTTGGGATTTTAGGGATTTTATGTGAAGTCAGTGATGAAATTTGGATTCCAGTGAAGTCGGTCGTGAAATCCCCGGAATACCAAAACCAAAAAACCTCTAGATCGTTCAAGTTCTGCTGCCGTTAAGCAAGTAAAGTTTCAATTTCCATTTAAATTTTTCCATGTTGAGGTGAACTCTCTGCTAAAAGCTTCTAACTCATCCTTTATTTCTTTTTTCATGTGGGCAAAATTTTTAATGGATTTATGTATTTTTTTTTTCCGTTGAATTCGAACTCGAATCTGAATTATGGATTCAGAAAAAACAAATTGATGAATTTTTTATTTGCGTGTATGTCGGTCCTGTCACAGCATGATTTGATAATCCGACCGCGAAGCTAATCGTTTCTGCATGTTTTTGGGGTTGCAGACCTGGACTGTCGAATGGAGAGGATGAAAAACAACTGCAGGAAAGCAGCAATGGAGACCCGGCAGCAGCAAATTCAAGTCGATCTGGGTAATCTCGTGGTCTCTTAAGTTATTTTTCTTTACTTATTCAATATATCTCTATTTTTTGGTAATATTTTTGTGTACTTCTGGGCTTTTTGAAATGATTGCTTTTGAGAGATTAATTGAAAATTTACTTTTGGAAATTGGGATTTTATTTGGATTAATCCTATCAGTGAAATGGCAGTTGCCAATATCCTGGGAGTTGCCAATATCATCAAAATATTTGCTTTGGATTTCCTGGGAGTTGCCAATAACTGTCCAGCAATAGGCAATAATTTTTTAGTTTTTTAACCATTCTATTCAATGAATTCCGTGCATCTTCCATTGTCTCAACATTTTTTATCAAACCCAAACCCATACTATACTTTAACAAGTCACTTAGATAATTGCTGCAACTCCCGCAAAGCAAGAACAACTGCTTAAGCTCTTGATCCTCCAATTGTTCGTAACTCCACTTTAGAGCCAAGAATGCTTTTTCATTCATTTCTTTCTTGTCAAATCTTTTGAAACTTCTCAACGCATCTTTCCATTCCTCCAAACTACTTTCCCTTAAAGCACTTGCAACTGCAACAACCAAAACCGGCAAACCTCCACATTTCTTTGCTAGCTGGGTTGCTTCTTTCAGTATACGGTTGTCTTTAACGACATTACCTGCCAACTTCTCAAACAAACTCCAACTTTCGTTTTCTTTTAAAAATCCAATTTCAAAATTTTTTTGTGTAATAAAACTTGTCTTTCTCTAGATGTCAACAATAACTTACAGTTCGGCACACCAACGAGTCCCACGGCCTCAAAGTCAATTCTTTCCAAAACATCGTGTAAAATGACAAGAGTCTTCCTCTCTTTTATCCTAGCCCGTAGGAGATTCGCTCTTGTTCCCATATCCACAGATTCATCAACATCCATCCTCAACTTTTTGGTAATTGCTTTCTGAATTGTTTCATTGTCTTTTTTTTCTTTTACGTTTAGAATTATAACCCCATCATCAAATAACTTCTCTTCCATAGCTTCTCTATAAACCTCTTTGGCAAGTGTTGTCTTCCCAACGCCCCCCTAATCCGTACACACCAATCTTGTTGATATCAGGTTTTTTCAATTGCGTAATGATATCCTTCACCATTGAAGTCCTTGATTCAAAGGCCATGTACTCGTCGGAGGCTATGGCAGATATGTCTTCCACAGCAGCATTGTAAGAGATACTGGCAAACTCTTTTTTATTTTCATGTTCTTCAATCTTTCTGACCAATTTAGTTGATTTTCTGCTGAGCTGATGATAGGATATCAGGTTAGGACATATATAAAGACACTTTGTCTTTGCACAGCCTTCATCATCCAATAATGCTTCTGCCTCTCGAGAGATCACATCCGCTTCTGTCTGCCAGCTCCGGACATCAGCTTCCACTTTTTGATTAACTTTTCCTTCGACTTCTTCAACCGCATGGTTCATCCTTTGTTTGACAGCATCAAAATTCTTCAATGTACTCCTTAGATCTTTAAGGTTGCTTTTGTAGAAAATGACATAACTCACTTGGCGTCCAAGTGGTCTAATTGTGTAGTTAATTATTGTAGGAATAATTGCGGCGATTATCTTTATCGCCATGGCACCTTCAGCTTACCAATTCGTCTGCTTCTTCTATCTGTTGAATATATATGAATCCAAACAAAAATTTAAGGATACGAGAAAGGAATCATTTTTTTTTCTTTCAAAGCAGATGAAATTAAAAAAATGAAACAATGGGTCATACCTTAGCTCGTGATCGGAGAAAAACATAGCAGTATACAAATGAAACAAAAATAAAAGCAAAAAGAAGGTTATACCACACTTGCAAGAAGTCGAGATGATGGACAAGTTTTCATATACAATTATTATACTAAAATAAACTTGCTTGGTACGGAACTTAAGCAACTGTTTTCAAATCTTAAAAACAAAGAAAACATATATAATTTGCTTTGAATTTCACTGAGACATTTTAACAAACAACATATCTGCACGCCTAAAGCTGGTGCATGAGCACTTTGCTAAGGCTCGTTGAAGACCACCAAGGCTCGTTGAACACTGTACCACATAGCTACTGAGCTAGATGGTACGATGGAGTTGACCCCCGATTCTCGCGAGCTGACTGAGTCAACTCTACTAAGGCTCGACAAGTTCCAGAGGCTCATGACGACCTCTAGTTTACGAAATAAATCTGAGGCCATCAACCGCGAAATCAGGATCAGAGATGGAAAGGTCGAGCAAAGCAAGGAGGCTGCCAAGCGTTTGAGTTTGTTCATCTTGAAGAGAATTCAATTCTTTTACTTAAAAGTATGATAATGGCAGCCATGATGATTGGTCCTAGACGAAGGAAGATGGAGGAAAAACAAGGTGAAAAAGTTGCGAGGAGGAAGAAAAGTGGAGTTGTTGGCGTCTGAGTTTGTGTGTTTAAGTAATATTTGGGAAGTGTTATTGTCACTCCAAAAATCTCATTCTATATTCTTCACAAGTGTATTTTTCTTTTCCAATATAGAAACTTTGGGGTGTAGAATGAGATTTTTGGAGTACTAATAACAATTCCCTTTTGCATTTTTATGTTTAGATAATGTATATGTTAGTTGAATTTTATAATGATCTTTTTTTAAAAGAAAATATTGAAACATGTATAGTATTCAGATACATATAGATAAGGGTAATGTTAGGGAGATCAAATTTGCAAATCGAATTATGTGTCACAAATAGAAAATTAGCACATTAATCAACGCTTGAGTTATATTCCAATTATCACATCCACATCATTTGGTTTACAATTTTTTTTTTTTTTTTAAAAAAATTTGGTCTCCCAAGCATTACGCTATAGATAATGTCAAAAGCCAATAATTTTGTGTTTGATAGTAATATCTTTGTAATGTATAAGAATAATGGCAGTGCTGGTGAGATGGTGGTTATGGCAAAAGTTGTGCTAGAAGCAATGGTGGTTAGGTTGGTTGTAGTAGTGATGGGGACACACCCATTGGATGGTGACAATAGTTGAGTGGGAAAAGGGTAATGGTAGACTGGTAGTAGGAATGATGGTGATGGTAGTCGCGGCAGAAGGTTGTTGTGGTAACAATGCTAGAGAGGAACAGTATCAACAACATTGATTGAGAGGTTGCGATGGTGATGATGACAAATATGGTAGAGGTTGTGGTGGCAATGGTGGTGAAGGTGATGACGTGGAGAGTGGCAATGGTGGTAGTAGTGATAATGACATCAACTGTGAAATCCCGGCCCCGAATTTCACTATTTAAAATTACGTATTTTGTATTCTTAGTTTTGACGCCTTTATATTTGTGGCGTATAATTTTTTTTAATAAGTAAAATGATGAAAACGCCCTTAATGAATTAAATGGATTTTTTGAGGACATATTTAATTCCTATATGTTTTGTCACTTTATTTATATTTGGATAGTACTCGTTGATACGAACGCGTGGGCGCAAACGAAATGTAATTTGGAGTTATAACAAAAGAGTTATAAACGAACAAAGTTAAGGGCAAAATGGTCATTTGATCATAAATTTGGAAGGCTCCATATTTGTTGCACTAATTTCTGGTGTCATATGTGTGGCGATGATGGGAAGAAAATGAGAGAAAGGAGAGAAATGAGAGGGAAACAGGGCAATCAGGATGAGAAAAAATGAGGGAAAGGAAGGAAGAGAGAAGAATGGAACCTCGACCCCCCTATTCGACCGGCGACCCAACCCAACTTCCGACATGCAATCCGATGCCTTATCATATCATTTTCAGGTGAATTGTGACAGGGCAACACTTGAGAACGCATCATTGATCTCTTCGCTTCCATTTTCACCTAGAAATTGAAAGAATTAGGCCTCAGTTTCCTCTAGAACACGCCGACGAGCTTTGTGGATGCACGACGACGATCTGCTTTTCCTACATGAATCACCATAGAAAACCACCAACAATCAACTCCTCTTAGGCCTAGGAACAAACCCCAAACAAGTTTGGGGGCGGTGGAGCACCGGAGAAGATGAATCAAAGTGTACCCATTTCAAGGGTTTCCGGCGGATCGAGGCGATTTCAGGTGTTTCCGGACCGAATTGGAATTTGGCCCAAGTATGAAAGTTCTTCCCCTTGGTGAGTTCTACATTTCTATAAAATTTGGTAACTTTTAGAGTTAGTCGGAAAATTGGGTTTCCGTTTGCTGGAAACCGCCACCTGCGATGGCGCATGGCCCATGGACTGATGATTTTTTTAAGCTAAATTAGATGTCCTGATTTCAGATTTGATATCCCCTTGATGTGATTTGATTGTTTGAACCCATTTTCATTATGGTACACCATTTGATCATTATATGAATCGATGATCCGACCGTTGGATTGTCACCAAACTTTAATGTATTATAGTATGTAATATTTGAGGACCGTTGGAACTTACGGATCGGGCATATGATGTACGGATTTTCTGGAATTGAACTTCTAAATTTGTAAAACTAATTAGTGAGGCCACCTAATTTTAGTGATTGGCAAAGATCCGACCGTTGGATCGTTCTGAAATTTTAGGATATTGTTCTAGAAGATTAATGAGACTCTTGGAAGTTACGGATCAATGATTCATGGGTGGATATTCCGGATCGAATTACGTAAGGTTGTAGACCCCACCGCTGACTGAGAGTTGACTTTTGGTCAACATGTCTTGAACCGTTTGAAATACTAAAATTATATTATTAGAGACTTAGTGAGGCTTTGTGGGCTTATCTCAGTGAGTGACTTTAATATATATGTGATATATTTATTACCCTAAAAACCTCTCATGCTAGTATACTTTGTGGATACAACATGGATTTTTAAATTATGTTTTATGTTAAATAATTATTTTTATAAAGTTTGCCATCGATCTACTTTATGAAATGTTATGTGACTTGCCTATTTGAAATGTTTGTTAAACATGAGGGCTAGTAGAGGACCATTACCTTAGTGTCAAGGGGTTAGGTGACACCAAGTCCATACCATGTAGCAGTGGTACATGGATGGTTTTGCTTGGTTAATCCGCAATACGGGACCATACTATTTATGGATCATGCTTAGTTAATCTACGATGGGCGATCCTTATGGCCATACATACTTAGGGGTGATCATGTTTGGTTAATCTGCGATGGGTGTTTACTGTCTAACAGTTTTATAGGTGTGACTATGTTTGCTTAATC